TTTGTGGATAATGACAAGGGAAGGATCACTCAGTATTGTTCTGGTTCAAAGAATTCTAGCATATCTGCATCTGAAAATTCTTATGAATTACCTTACTCTGGAATTCTTCAATTTAAGCCTAATTGTCGCTATACAGTTGTGAATGGTCCTTTTACTGATGTGTTGCCTAAACTTGAGGATATTGAGATTAATGCGGTGCAAGAAATACCTGCTGTCATGCCAGGGATCCATCAAATTTCCTCAGACATCAGTGAGCTACAAATTCATTTTAGAGACTATGGTTATATTTATGTGATTGTGTCAGTCTCATTGTTGCTCATTATCCTACTGTGTCTTGTTTATTTATGCTATGCCAAGATTTGGTACATCTTACAAATTAGGAGGCCCTCTCCTTCTAGAAGATCTGATGATGCTCAAGCATCTGTGAGATTTATTCAGTCTCCTACCCCTAAGCCTGCAATTTACCCTAGATTGGAGATGGACTCCTCCACAGGAATCTTGTCCATTCGCTGATCATTTTCCGAAAAGGAGTTTGGCTGGAAAAGACAAACAAAAAAGAGAATCAGAGTCCAGAAATTCTTTTTACAATTTCTCTATTGCCTTGACCCATATAAAAACGCGGGTACGAAAAATGGCACTCTCTTTTGACGCGTTTCTTAAACATTTACGCGTTCAACATTTCTTTGAAGGGGTTGTTGTCCTCAAGGACCAGTTCTCCCTCCTTCTTTTCTTCAACGGTTTTATCCGCCTCTTCCAGCTCCAGCAGATCCACCACTGGTTAGGCTTCTGGATCCTGCTGATCCTCCGGCGTCAGCATCCGCACCAGTTCCCGCATGTACAATGACTGTACAAAAAAGAAAAAAGAAAAAGCCCCGAGCAAAGCATCAAAAATTATTGCATGCGCTGCTTTGTATTTACATGCTATTGTTTACCTTGTCTAAATGTTGAAACTCTTGGGGATCTAGCCCTGATATCTGCATAGTTTTGAGAAAAAACTTCAAACTCTTCATCATCTGAATCTAGCCCATTAAAAAAGATGTTGGGCATAGATCCTACTATGCATTCTTTAACTTTAGCTTTATCCAACTTTAGAATTCTTTTCTTTCTCTATATTTGAAAGGCATGCACAAAAAAGCAAAGCAAGCATGAAAGCAAAAGCATTGTTAATCATTTTTATTAAAACAAAAGAAAAATTGGCTAACCTTGTTCCTTATGAACTTGACCAGCCAAACCAAAAATACAGCCAAAGACGTAGCCCCCGCACCTCCAAGGCCCATGAAAACCAAGACCAAAGCGGTCCACGGGTCCACATCCGCTTTGACGTGGGCAACACCATGTTTGATGTTCACAATCACTTTGGGCGTGGACAACAGCGCCTTAATAACCTGCGGCACCTCATGGGCCACTATGACGCTTTGCTGCGTCAAGGGCGGCACCCAAACCACGTACGGCATTTTGCTTGCCAGCACGTGGATGACCGCCAGGTTGGCCGTCGGTGCCACTGGGCAAGGCTCATCAGTATATACACAATATTTTATTAATCTGGTGAATGAAAAATTTTGTTTTGGTGTCGGTCAGGTGTTGGGTATGTGTAATGATGTTATGTGTGTGAGTTGTGGTCTGAAATGTTTATGTTTGTATGGAAAAGCTGAAAATAACTCACCAACCACCAGCGGAACTGCCGCTGTCAAGATCTCCGGTTCGGCCGGCACAACTTCCTCGCACCACCTCCATGGCGTCACGACACAATCCATGTCAGCCCGACGCCCGACGCAGACCGTTGGCGACAACAGCTTCACTTCCTGCAGAAAGAAAAGGCTGTCAAGTCCGCCTCACAAAAAACACTGTCAAGCTTACCTTTAAGTCCGCTTGCCTGACGCAGTCCAGGAACAGCGTCGTCCCGACAAATGTCACGCGGCACCCGTAGCTGCCGGCACCCCTCACCTCCTTGCCGCAGATGTCCTGACACAGGAACGCCCCTCCTTCCGGACCTCAGTCGGCCCCAACAGCAGCAACTCCAATGAACAACAGAACCAGCAGCCTCAGGAACGCCATCTGTGAAAATTTCAAAAAAACTGTTATTTCTGAAAAGAATTTTTTTTTTGGTCACTCACTTTTCACTTGTTGAACTTTCTTCTTGATGAAGTTGAAGATTCCCAGCAGCACAAAATCACTCAGTAGTCAAACGATTTGCGAAACAATGTTTGAGGCCACCAGCTCCAGGAGACCCATCAACTTTTGTCGACTTTTGGAGACAGGAAGTCGCTAACAACGCATCCGCGTCCATTATGAAAATCATTAAATTATGGTCCAAAAAATTTGAAAAAAATAGACTAAGCTAACAATGCTCACCAAAGTCAACTGCCAAAATTTCAGGCCCAACGGATCGTCCATTAACAAATAGCACTCGATGCCAACTGAAGAAGATATTATCATTCTTCTTAATCCAAACATCTGTTGGATCCATGCCTGATTCCTCCTGATGGTTGGCAATAACAATTGCCATTTCCATAAAAGCCTTTATGGCTCCTGAAAGAAACAGCAATGGAAAATAGGGCACTGTCGCACTGAGTCTCACACTTGGTTCTCTTGTTGTTCCTTTTTTCTGCTGACTTTCACAAAAGGATGGAACCTTTTTTTTTATTGTGCGGGGTGAGTTTGTTATCTTAGAAATACAGTAATTTACAGAAGACCCTTTTTGATAGTTTCAGAAGAAACCTTTTAGAAAGCCTAGAAACGGGAAATTGCTAAAGCGAAGATAATCGCTGCAATTTCCTTGATGAGATACAGAAGACCCTTTTTGGTAGTTTCAGAAGAAACCTTTTAGAAAGCCTAGAAATGGGAAATTGCTGAAGCAAAGATAATCGCTGCAATTTCCTTGATGAGAAGCCTTGACAACTTCTCATGACAAGCTACAATAACCTTCCTTAGGTAATTAAAATACAATCTATCTTGAAACCCTGGTGGGCTCAACTCTTTACAAAAGTCGAGTGATATTCGGTTGTCTTGTTCTTGTTGCGCATGGTCATTATCACTGATGTGTAACCAGCGCAATTATATTTCACTCAGAGCAATTTCCACTCTGTTCATTTCATGGATTGGGATTTCCACTATTAGGGTCGCAATGATTGTTTCCTTTGTTTCCCCGATCTAGGCTGGCTTGGTTTAAATACCCCTGCTTGGTGAAATCTCAAGAGAGATCTCATCCAAGCTTCATACAGTAAACTCCATAGTCAAAACTCTGTCAAAGCTCAAACCTATTTCGAAGTAAAGTACAAGCTGGACTTGTGTGTTTGTGTATTTGTATTGTTGTATTGAATGTTTGTATGTGGATGAGAATATTGTATTGTCAAAACTCTGTTAAAGCTCAAACCTATTTCAAAGTAAAGAACAAGCTGGACATGCTTGTTTGTGTATTGGTATTGTTGTATTGAATGTTTGTATGTGGATGAGAATATTGTATAAAGAATACTAATCCAGAATAAGAACTTGGTTCTTTCATTCTTGACTCAATCCTGTAAAAGAAAGGACAACACAAACCACAGTTGTGCACCCACCAGCTGGCAAATGCTAGTCACTCCAACTGCCAGCTGGGGTGGTGCTTGGTCTCCAGAATCCCCAGCCCACCAAACAGTGGTCCTTTCACCCAACTGTTTGGGCTCTCCAACAATTGGGTGACTAGAATCCCATTGATTTTAAAATCCTGGTTGCAGTGACTTTCCAGGCTTTGGTGAGCAGAATGGTTTCCTACCACAGATTATTTTTTGTACAAAATTTAATCTTATGAAAATGTTCACACAAAAAAACTCCTCAAACCCAACCTAAAATAACCTAACCTAATATAACTTAACCTAAACTAAACTAACCTTATTGGACATAACTAAACTAACATAAACTGACCTAGCCTAGCCTAAAATTGCTGAAATATTGCACACAAAAAATAATCTGCAGAAGGAAACCATTCTGCTCACCAAAGCCTCAAAAGTCACTGCAACCAGGATTTTAGAATCAATGGGATCCTAGTCACTGGATTGTTTGGGAGCCCCAACGATCAGGTGACTGGACCTTGGTTTGGTGGGCTAGGGATTTTGGAGACCAAGTACTGCCCCAGCTGGTGGTTGGAGTGACTGGCATTTGCCAGCTGGCAGGTGCGCAACCATGGTTCGACTGAGTGGTGGCTGACCAGACAGGTGTAATTAATGCCATGTGGATTTCAAGAATTCTGAGGGGAAAGCTGGGCTACAATGACAACAAGATCTGCAGAAAGGGCGCCTCATCTTTTGAGTTGAGAGCAAAACTCTGCCAGGGTGAATTTTGCAAAACATTCAAAAAATTTGTCAAGCAGGGGTGATTTTTTGTGTGCCAAAGAATATGTTTTCTCTGAAGAATTTTTTTTCAGCTCAACTGTATGCCATTTTAATTTATATTTCAAGAACTTTTGTTAGAACCCTTGTATGTACAATTTCCAGGGAACAAGTGATCCCATTTACTTTTCCCTTTGAAGAGCACCAGGTCGGCCTCCTTTGAACGCAACCTTTTTCCATTTCGAATGACCTAATGCTGTACTGCCAAAGGGAAAGTAAACAAGTAAATGCGATGGGGTCATGGCATCAACCATACCTTGTCTGATTCCATCACTGATACTGACTCTGCATGATACTAGGACACGTGGTGAGCTGTGCACGTAAATGTAGTAAAAATATATGAATTTATAAAGAGATATGAATTTATAAAGACAGTATGGGGTCGCTTTTTTGATGACAGCAGCTGTACTGTATGAAGGACTGTACCTGAAATATTCCAAACGATTTATAATATATTTCATATTAAAAAAGCATACGTACACACACACACACACACACAGAGAGAGAGATACACACACACAAACACAGAGATACACACACAGATACACACATAGGAGATCTGGAGTCGGAGGAAAAAAGAAACATTTGTGATACTCTAATGCGTACATATCTTACATACAGCATATGCAGTGAATCATTCTTATAGTACGTATGTAAATGCATAAATTAATAAAAATTGAATTCTGCTGCTGCTGAGGATGATTTTGCGTGTACGATCTTTTGCAGCATGTTCTTGAGGACACTGAGCCTGTCATTCGTCGAATTGCTCACTATTATGTTGGTACAAGCATACAGTATGCAACATTTTCATTTCAGCGTTTCGAAAAGTTTGCTCTGCGAACGAACAGCGTGGCTTTAATAATCGTAAGGCAAACTCTGCTGCGGCTGCTGCATGGGAGGAGAGGGTTTGCTGTTGCTAAAGCCACCGTATTCCAAAGGCTTTTCCTGGAAAAACCGTAATGTTCCAGGAAAGGAGGGCGAGAAAAGTCAACGGAAATATGTTCCTCTGTACCTGCATAGTATATATGCTCAATAAATACACATGCGTATATATTCTATAGAAAAAAGAAGGAAGGAAATTCCTGCTCGACTCAATACGAATGAACAAGACGAGAATAGGTATACCAGCTTTATAGGCATGGCAAGACCAAGGGTATGAAAATCGAAGATTTCGATTTCATCTTATAGGCATTGATCCGAGCCGGCCGGTGTGAGTTACTGAAGGCCACGCTGTAAGACCCTTACTTTTTTCTCTCTCTTTCTTCAACTCGCGATCATATCTCACAAACACACTCTGCATTAATAAAAAATGGAAATAAATTAAAATTGGTGCCGTTGAACTTGGACTCTACTGCGCTTGTAAAAAACATGCCGAAGTGACGTGTGTTCATGGATTCCAAAAGTAAAACCATTCACAGTTGCATAATATTACTGGGGGGAAAACTGGAATGGATCGCATTCTTTTTTTCTTAATTCATCCGATGAGAAATCTTTGCACTTCATTGCTCAACAATTATCCAAAACTGAGTACAGTATATGACTGTCATTTGGAAGCGATATACAGTACAGTATTAAGACGATACGGGTGTTGGAAGCTGCTCTGTATTTAACAGCTTACTTGCTTGTTTTGAGACGACCCGTTATTCTCGACGTGCATACAAATACAGTCATTCGCCGGTGAATTAATTATTTAATTCCATTTTCTCTCTTTTTTCCTTTTTCGTTATTTTATTCATTCATTTTATTTCTTTTTTGCTGAGGGGAATTTTGCGGGGAGCAACAATTGATGGGATATGATTTCGCGGGTCAATCGATTCTTCCTTCGTCATTTCCTCTGCAGAGCACGCCATTCCGCAATCTCTCGAATTCTGCTCGTTTCTTATGCGAAAATTTCAGCGGCTGCATGGATGAAGAGCACACACACACACACACATACATACATATACACACACCAATTCGAATCATTGAAATCATTCCGGGCCGATTACTTGACAGGCTGCGTGCATCAGAAAAGGTACGTATGGGGTGCGACGAAAATGAAGACGAGGAGAGTCGTCTTGGTTATCGACTCATTCCGTGCTGTTGATGCCCTTATTCGCCGCCAGAATACGAGCTAGTGCTGTACGTCAGGAACAATTTTCCCACGAAAAAGGGGCAAGCAGTAGGATAATCATTTTCAGAACCTATGGTAGTGCTGGTGCTGCGGCTAATTTCGAGCTTATTGCCTCGGAGCCAGCAGCGTGTGAATTAATCAGAGGACACGTTGGATATATTGTATGCAATCAGCCCATGACTAGCATATACGATTATACGTACTGTACACAGCGTACGTTTATTCACACAACGTCGTCCGAGACGACGAGAATTGAACGTGTCCTCTAGGTTGCCTGAAACCCGACCCACCCGCCGATCCAATTTCGCGTTGGTCGACATTTTCCGCAAATAAGTCCGAGATTGGCGCGGCGACTCGATTCTCGTTCGTCGTCGTCGTATAAAGCAGTCGTTCGACGCGGGGTTTCAATCTCGAGTGCTACATTCACTGGAGTCCAGCCGTGGGAAAATGGTCTCAGCAAACTTCAATCAAAGCCTGGCTCTGTCGGCAAATAATCAAACACGACCGTGGCGTGGATCGACTTATAGAAACATCATCTCCGACGTCACTCGTCGTCGTCGTCGTCGTCGTCAAAGTTGAGTCCGAAGTAAATTAGCACACGTGCATGACGACGCCCACACACACACAATACTGACGGATTGGAAATTCTTTTCTACCCAATTTACTTATTTTTTCAAATACTGCTACTGTCATCAACTTACGATATACTGTACATGAACATGGTGTAGTATACTCATCGACCGATGCAGAGCACCCTTTTGTATTTACGCGAGTGCTGATATATGCACCAAAGAAATAAATTTTTCTTCTAATGCTGTTTAACTCAAGAAAATTATCAAACCCGTTTTAGATTTTTATTGTACATGAACTGTGTACGTATGTTAATGTTAACTAAATACAATTTCTTTGACTGGTATTCGAACACCCACGAATATTGTCCCTTACTTTCTGAATAACCCAAGTGGGACAACTTTGTTCTGTGCCACCTGTGCCTTTCTTTTTCTTGTGCAGATTTTATCAGCTACAATGCCTGATCATGATTCCAATCACCAACATGTGCTCTGGTGCAAACGTTATTTACAAAATTGCATAAACCTCAAATCCTGAGAGTCGGGGCATATTTTACTGATGTCAAAATTCGTAGAAAACGTCAAGATTTATGATTAAAGATGTTGCTAAAATTTCTATATTCATTTTTGACTGAGATACTTGCTTTGGGAGTTTGCATCATAAATTGCATAATGCGCAAAATCTTATCTTAAAAATTTTCCTGGTTTTCAGGACTTCTTTTGGATTTCTTATGATTATTATGTGGTGTATATAAAGCTTGTTCAATGCAAGGACAGATATTGGTATCATCAACATGTACACAAGCTAAGGTTGTCCTTTAATTTTCCCTGTGTCTCATGTGTCTTACACTGTTTAGATCACCTATACTGCACTTACTGCTTAAAAGCTGCATAACTGCTTGTGTACTTCAGGTCCCTTCTAAATTCGGAGATTTAAAAACACCCCTCAATAAATTAAAATATTCTCTTTAACATGTACTGTATACTGTATATTCAACATGTGGCTTCATGGGGCATTCCAAAAAGATGTACACCAAATAATGCTGGAGTACAGTACATACTGTACAGGGATACCTTAAACTAAAAAGATAATTTGTTCCAGAGCTATGTGTTGTAGTAAAATTTGTGTTTACTATGAATCCTGATTTCCGCCTGACTTCTATGGGAAATCAATTAATTTGTTTCAAAATTTCCAAAAATGCATAATAATTTCTGCAAAAAGGAATTTAATTTTGAGTAAACCAACTTTAGAGTACTTCAAAGCATTACCCTATTACATTCAATGCATTAAAGATTAAACCATTCAATGCAGTAGAAGATTTCTGTTGAAAACATTCTTCAAAATGTCTTTAAAATGTGAATGCCGCTTGCAATTTATTGAAAAATTGCATCTAAAAAGGTTTAACTAAAAATTAAATTAGGTCTTATTTTCAGTTTTTATGGAGGGTAGATTGCTGGTTTTAAAATTTTGTTTCAAAGGGGATATGCTCACAGCAGCAAAAATTCATTGAAAATTTATTTTGCTTCAAACATAACCCCTTTAATTCAAATTTTAATCCACAGTTTTTAAAAATTATCCAAATTTGTTTATATTGCATCAGAGGGGGTATGCTGAAAGCAGGCACATTTTCAAAGAATTTTCGCTTTGATCATAACCTCCTTAACTCTAAAGAAAAGTAACTTGTTTCATTGATATTATTTAATTATAAGGGGTTATGATCAAAGCAAACACATTTTCAAAGAATTTTTGCTTTGAGCATAAACCCCAGCTTATCATTGCCACTATACAGCAGAATTACATTACTGTATACAACAAATCTCGTTATAACATTGTTTGTTATAAAAAAATTTGAATTAAAATTTGGATTAAAATTTGAATTAAAGGGGTTATGTTTGAAGCAAAATAAATTTTCAATGAATTTTTGCTGCTGTGAGCATATCCCCTTTGAAACAAAATTTTAAAACCAGCAATCTACCCTCCATAAAAACTGAAAATAAGACCTAATTTAATTTTTAGTTAAACCTTTTTAGATGCAATTTTTCAATAAATTGCAAGCGGCATTCACATTTTAAAGACATTTTGAAGAATGTTTTCAACAGAAATCTTCTACTGCATTGAATGGTTTAATCTTTAATGCATTGAATGTAATAGGGTAATGCTTTGAAGTACTCTAAAGTTGGTTTACTCAAAATTAAATTCCTTTTCGCAGAAATTATTATGCATTTTTGGAAATTTTGAAACAAATTAATTGATTTCCCATAGAAGTCAGGCGGAAATCAGGATTCATAGTAAACACAAATTTTACTACAACACATAGCTCTGGAACAAATTATCTTTTTAGTTTAAGGTATCCCTGTACAGTATGTACTGTACTCCAGCATTATTTGGTGTACATCTTTTTGGAATGCCCCATGAAGCCACATGTTGAATATACAGTATACAGTACATGTTAAAGAGAATATTTTAATTTATTGAGGGGTGTTTTTAAATCTTTGTTTGAGCAGTTTTCTGTAGGGTTAATGTTATAAAAATTGTATTATAAGAAGGTAATTTCAGGCTGTTCTCATTTTAAAGAATTTTTGAGCATGATTCTGTGCATAGCCCATATCACAATTGCTCAATAAATGGCAGAAAATGTTTAAAAGATGTAGCATTACAACTTCATAAAAAAAATCTTTTGCTAAGAAAGCTGGATGTCCAAAACATGCACAAGACATATTTTTGGAAATTATTTTAGCTCGTCCATTTTGTAATGCATGCCTTTTCCAAACAAAGAGTACATCAGAACAATGTTCCTCTATGTTTGAAAGCTCTAGGAGTGAATAAGTTTATTGAGAAGGAAGTGTAGTAGTTTTACCATAAGTAATTTCTTTTTCATTTTATTTTTCAAGACAAGCCATATTTTAGTACAAATTTTGGTTCATTTAAATGAGAGTACTGTTCATATTGAAGGATTTATCTTCATTTCATCAGATATACTCATTACTTATGCTAGGTCTTGAATTATCTGTTTTAGATCCAGTTAAAAGTATGTATCTCCTATACAATGAAATTGCAGCCTGAAATGTGCCAAAAATCATTTATCTTGCTACAATAAATTATTTATTAAACGAAATCAGGTCCTTTTTCTCAGGTCCTTGGGAGTTCATTGTAATGCGATTTTACTGTTTAAGGGGGTTATGTTCAAGGCAAAAATTCTTTGAAAACGTGTCTCTGATCATAACCCCTTGAAATTGTGCAACATTACATCTAAGGTGGTTATGCTCAAAGCGGAATTTTCAGAATTTTTCAACATTGCAGGGGATTCTGCTCAAAGCAGATACTTTTCAGAGAATTTTCGTGTTGAGCATGACCCTCCTAGATGCACTGTTCAAAAGCGTGTGCATTGATGTTTTAAAGCTGCGAATTGGTTATTTAAATCTTTGGATTAAAATTTTATTTGCAGGGGTTATGCTCAAAGTAAAATAATTTTTCAAAGACTTTTTGCTCTGATGAGCCTACCCAGCAAATAATTGGGCGTGCTGGGTTGATTGGTAGGATTGCACTCTTCTTCTTGGATACTTCTTGTCTTTCTCACAAAAATCTTTGGCCAGAATGCTGCTGTATTTCCTTGGCCCTGAAGAGGCCTGGGTTTTGACTTGCAGTGTTCGCCTCTTTTTTATTCTCCTGTATTCAATTATGCCTTGAAAATTATCATGACTAATAGCAGGCTTCACAGCTTGTGTTTGAAGTATTTTAATTTGCCTCAGACCAGAATTGTATAAAAAATGTATTTCCTTTTGTACAAGTGTCTGAACTTGGCAATTTTATGTCATTATTGTGAATATCATGTTGGGTATATTTGTGTGAACCCTAAATTTAATTTACTTGTCCCGCTTGACAGAGATGAGTAACCACAGTTACCACACACAAAGAAACTAAAGTAACTCTTCAGCATTTCCTGAGCTAATTGCAGTAAATTTTTGTGAAGCTAAAAGGTCCTGTTATTGGCCCCTCACAGTGAACTGAATAAAAGGAAGGTTGTGTTATTGCAAATTTGGATGCCTACAGTTCACTATATCCAGCCAACATTTGGTATGCCATCTGCCTTTTTGGGGCTCTGACTTCAGAGGGCAATTTATGACCACATCACCTCTGCTGAAGACTTTGAACTTCTGGAACTGTGCCCAACAATCCCTGCACTACAGCAAAGCTGCTGAAGAACATAACCTACAGGCAGCTAAAATCTAAATATCAAACATCTTTGTGAAATACCTCCTAATTTTAACCACCATTGTGAGGTACATCAAAACCAATTACTTGATCATTGCAACAGTGACATAATCCATCTAAAATAATTGGGAGGGATTTTTTCAAGTACTGTACTGTACTAGCCTTGGGTGCTGCTCACTAATGAGCCATAAAGGCCGCTGTTTCTTGTGTCCTCCAAAGACTCAAATATCGCAAAATAAGACCTCTAAAAAGACTCCAGGGAAGAAGAAAAAAGGAGATTCGAAACTCTTGATGATGAACCAGAAAGTTCACGCATTTAAGGAGGCAATCTGCTGTGGGTGTCGGGAAATGCGTCCCGCGTCCGATTCCACTTGAATTCCACCGACATGAAAGACAACTTTTAATCCTGGATGATTAACATGCCCAACTTGAACGTGTGAAATCACGGCTGTCGTCCACTGAGCATATACCTCGTATATTGTATACATGCATGGGTTATCTACAATGAACAGACTCGAGGAGATCAATTGGGTGGGTGGATTCCACCGGACGACGTTTTCTCTCTCGCGTTTTCTTTTACATGTGCAGAGAAGATCGAGGTCATCGTTGTGAAATATTTTACGTTACAAGAGTCATCCCTATACTGCACCTTATATATAAGAAGAATAAAATGAGAAGAAAAGGCAGAGGGATGATGAGGCATAACAAGTACAGTATATAGAGCGGTTCATGTGATGTTCAGCAGTATACAGCTGTAAGACGGCGAGGGATTATGACGTTTTATATTGATGCAGTATTGTATGAGTACCTGAATAAAGGCAACATTACGGACCGAGTATCCTCAATATATGATTTAGTGCATTTAAAAATTTAAAAGCAGAAGAATAAAGGCGAAAATACACGACCAGCATACTCACTCGCATACACTTGTATGTAGGCATGAAAAAGCCGCAGAGTCTGCGCGCAGCAACACATGCAGCAGCATACCGGCTAGCATGAACCCCGCCCCTCCCACCTCCTGGAAATATTTAAACCCCTGCATGTATGGGGTTTTCGCAGCACACCCTTGTCGACAGCAAGGTCAATCGGACGCGAGGTGTGCATGCCGTGAAGACAGTTACAGTACATTACTGTATTATATTACTGCTTAGACAATACACAGAGGAGGGGGATTCGAAAGCAAATTCAACACTCAGCAATTGGGTCTGATATATATATATATATATATATATTTATTTATTTATTTCTGTGAGTGCGTTTGTGTGTGTGTGCATGTCTTGAGAAAACTCTCTCCAAATATATATACCCTCGTATATATATATATATATATATATATACAACAAAATGCACAGGATGAGAAAAATCGTTATAAGGAGAATTAATTCGTAGAGAACCCATTTAGCATAGGGGGATTACCACTATATGAGGGGACCAAAATATAATTTGATATGCAGAGAAAATTATTGCACACAAGATTGTTGTGAATTAAGAGAGATTCCACCTCTACACATAAATACTGCATATGTGAAATGCTTGATATCGTAACTGCATATGCATGTACTGTACAGTATTAATCCCAATATTCACGGTATACTTTCGTTTCCTTCTTTTTTGTATCATGCTTCGTCAAGGTTTCTCCATTTCCCAACCGCACATTTTCCTGTGCTGCTGAGCGAGAAACAAAAAGGAAAAGCGAAGAAAGAAAGGAAGGTTTCTCCGCGAAGAAAGAAAAGAGAAAAGGTAGAAGAAAGAAAAAGCGGTGAAATGCGTGCGATCTTGTTCAAGTCGGCGTCGGCGGGTCTGTTGGTCTTGCTGGCGGGCTGCGTGTCCCTGCTGATGCCGCAGGTGCTGTTGGCTGCTCCATCGGTGAGTGCACAGTAAAGTATACGCAAATAGAATTCAATCGTCTTTCATCGTCCACGGCCGAATTATTGTTCGATGGCCAAATTACGCTTTACCTTTCAATTTTCCTTCCGGCCATCGTCGTGTATTGCTTGCCAGCAGCAGCAACACCAAATGTTTCCACAAATAATCGTGAAAATCAAACTCATGCTGGTTCATGAAGACACTGAATGCAAATACGGTACGTATGTATAGACAGACAACAACCGACAAAAGAAAAGATAGAAAATGCAGTTTCGAAAGAGTGGCAAGGGATGTTCCTCTGCAAATGCGTTGGAATAATGAACCTTTTCGTTTCATCGCCTAACTGTGGCATTTTCCTGCCTCCCTGCTGATGAGTGTTCTGACGAACCCGGCAAAACATTTTTCGTTCCACATTCGTGATCCGAGACTTTTTCTGGCTAATAAAAAAAAAGAAAAGAAAAGGAAGTGCCCGCCGTTGCATCCCTGTCGGGGTTGAAAATGGCATTGGTCACACTCTTATTGCTGAGTGCAGTCATGGAAATGCAGCTATTAATGCTGGCGATAAGTAATCAAAAGGGGAGAGGGGGGGAGGGGGGAGGGGGGGGGGCAATCAAGTAAAAAGGGAAATTTACCTTTTATGCTATACTTTCGTAACGAGCCATGTTTAATCAAGGTTTTGAAGAAAAGCTATTTATTCGTCGTGTATTCGTCAAGGTTCGTGGAACCCCTTGCCGCCCATTTCTCTCTGTCCCCGCTTTATCTGTCTATTTTTCATAACTTTCGGAAATACAGACAGAGATAAAAGAAGGCAAGCACGCTGGTGGTGGTGGTGATGCTCGACTTGGGTTCAATTTTGCGTATCGTCTGTTTCGGCGGGTCAACACCGCTTCGAGGTCATGTATGGTCCGACGAGAAAACAAACACAGCACAGAAAAAAAGGAGAAACAATGAACCAGAATAGAAAAATAGGAAAAAATGCAAGTTATGGCGTGAATAAAAGTGCGACGGCATGCACGGTTTTCTTTTTTTTTTTGTTTTTTCTCAAAGCACTGTATTAAATTAACACATCGTGAGAAGCGAAAAATAGGAGGAGGAGGAAGTTAAGACACATTTCAAGAGACACACGTAGCTTCGTAGTTGGGGAATCCTCATTGAGATTGCGAGTCAGGTCAGGTGTCCCGTCTCGTCTTCCCTGAGGACTGCAGCAGCACTCGCATTAGCCCCCATTAGGGACGTGCCACAGCCGAGAGGAATGTCAAGTTCACTCTGGCAACAACACCCTCGAAGGCTTTCATCTTTCGACCGGAAATACATTGCAAATTGGACGAGACAGTGTGTTTCGGCCGAAATAAGAGCATCTCTCTCTTTTTTTTTATATTTCCGTGCCTCTTTGTATGCATATATACCTTCATACGCACGTCCGAACAAATGTATTCCACCCACCTTGACTATAAAGTTCTGCACGGACCCCTCTGTGTGTTTCTGCTGCATGCTGATGTGCTGGACGCAAAAATAAAATAAAAAAGGATCATAAAATAATTCAAAAGCTAGCGAAAGAATGAAAGAAAGAAGAAGGAAAACGAGAACAAGCCGGACGATATAATTCCAGAGAATTGATCCAAGAAGAACGAGACATTCGAGTTTTTATTCCCCACTTATTGTCGTTGGGTATACAGTAGTAATAAGTTCGTAAATTGTGTAATGTAGCTGATGACTATGTGCCTCGTCCCCTCTGATGATCCTCTGATGCATATTGCGCGATGAAAGACGGGAAAACACAGACGACCTCAAAGACGAGGATGACGGACGCTCAACTCAATCTCGATGCCAGCCTCTCATTTGTCAAGTTCAAGGGATCGGACGATCTCTCGTTCGGCGCAGATATTGTTCCGGGAACATATATGTTCTTGCCCATTTCAAGTTGAAGGCTTATTTATTTGGTGCTCCAAGTTTTGTCAAATTTTATCATTGTCGTATTCTTCCGCTTGTCGGAGGGATGAGGGGGAGAAAATAATTGAAATGCTTTGGACTCGCTTCGAAATCCGCGGTTTCCAGCAGTAGGATGCAGCGTGCGTGTATATATAGGGATTTATAGCTCGAACTGAGCGCCTTTGAGCTCAATTCCTGCCTAGCTGCGTACTGCAGCATATACAGTACAGTACTGTACTACTGTTCTAGACATACTGTAAACCAAAAGCATCTTCCGACAAGTTTTCCGCGAGAGCGTTCTCATTTTCCTGCTGGGTAGTATGTAAAGTACTCTACGAGTTTGAATGACTCGCTTACTTTCCCTCATCACACGCGTGCCGAATCGTCTGTTTCAGGGCGGAGACATTGCAGCCCTGCCGGACCCCAGCAACTACAATGCCGACGGTGAGCAGAAAAAAAAAAGTTTCTATTCTCATTTTTCCGTGCTGTTAAAGAGCCATAAAGGATCGAAGCCAACATGTGATGTGTACAGGCCAAGTTGCTTTTCTCTTGGCATTTTCGTGTGTAAATGCTTTTTTCTTCCCGACCATCTGAGTGATCTGACACACATCAGAAGGGAAAAAATTGTTGGTGTCTGCAATTCACATCTGTGTATATACTGTACATGCGCGTATACAGTACGTATTAATTCGCTTCGCCTTTCTCTCGCTCTTTTTCTTTTTCCCGGCACCTGGCTTATTTTTCCCTCCTCTTCTACGTCTTACAAATGAGCAAAAATGGCCATGAAACTTGTTTTTAAATTTGTTCTCCTCGGCTAAATCGTTGCTTGAATTGAGCTGTTGCTGATGAACCACAAACACGCTGCGACGAGCAGGAAATGGCACTGCTGTTGGCTTTATTTTTCTCGATTCTTTTCATTTTACACGACTATATATGTATACAGTATGGATGTATGTATACAGTATATATATGCTCGATCGAAGCATATACATTTGCATGAGCAAACTTGCAGAGGGAAATAATGCATCGGGTATCCTGGGTGCTGGCTGGAGTTCCGCCGCCGAAACCAGCTCACCGGCACCGTATTCTGCAGCCCTTGAGATGATGGGCATCAGCATGAGGAACGGGGGGATTGACGAGGATGACGAGAGGGCAGATTCACTCAAAAACGGCGACAGACTCATGCTGAGCTATTTGTCACCCGCAGCATCATCATCATCATCATCGTCGTCCGACCTCACTGGTCCTCGTCGACGCCAATCCTCCGTGCTGATGATGACGCAAAAGAATAAGCGATTGGATTCACTGGGCAGTGGTTCCCTTTTCAACAGAGCCCTCATGCAGCATGCTTCGTCGTCTTCTTCTTCTTCTTCATCATCATCTTCCATCGACAGTCCCATAATTCTGCATCGGTCTTGGTCAGCAGCAGCAACAGGACTGGGTTTGCTGAAAGGCGACAATAACGGAGCAGCGCCCGACGTTGCACATCATCATCATCATCATCCCCCTTTATTATTGGCGATGAATAAACGATTGGACTCGGTCGGCAAGGGGGACATGTTCAACAGAGCAGTAGTAGCAGCATCATCCGCTAAGGCAGTCCCATCGATCAGCAGTGGCGCCAATAATGATGATAGTAATAATAGCGAAAGGCGCCGCGGGATGGACTCTTTGGGAAGCGGGTCCTCCATATTCAACAGGCGGGGCTTGAATGAGGACGACTCATCGTCATTGTCACTCGGCAACATGCTCAACAAAGACGACGACGACGAAGAGGCCTTGCCACTGCTGCTACTGCTGAAAGATGACGAGGATGAGGCGTCCTCTCGACGTCAGCGTGTATCTTTGGATCCAGACTTGGAGCATGCTGCTGCTGCTGATGATGATGATGATGATGATGAACAATCTGCCCCGTTGATGACAATGAAGCCGAGTACAACTCGTCGCGGGCGTGGGTTCGAGACCAGGGCCTTGGACTCCCTCGGTGCCGGCTCCATGTTGGATAGGAGGCGGGGAATACCCGACAGGATCAAGTGCCAACCCCACCTCGTGATGATGGGAAGAAAGCGGACGATGGACTCTCTCGGCCGAGGCTCCGTCTTCAACCGGGCTCTGTCCAACTCGATCGGCGCCCGGCATCCCCCGGGCTTGGTATTTGTCGTCAGCAGCAGACCAGACACGCCCAGCACGAGAAACGATGCCGACGACGACGACGACGACTGTCGAGAAGAGAAAGAAGATGGGATTGGCGCGATGGACAGGAAAATCCGGCGGATGGATTCTCTCGGCAGAGGCTTCATTTTCAACAAGAAAAAGCGCAGCAGCAGCAGAGATAAGTCATCGTCGCCGTCGACGATGACGCAGGGACTACAAGGACCCCTCATCCTGATGATGCCGATGATAACGTCGTCGTCGTCAGATGCTGTTGTGGATAAAAAGATACGCTTCGATCCGAGCCCGAACACCTCGACCACCGCCATCATGAGACAGTATCGCGAAAAAGTCCCCCAAGAGATGCATTCGTCTGTTAAGAACTCTTATAGCCAAAGCCCATCTCTGCTTCTGCAGGCAAATGCTCAAATCTCCGATAAAGAGTCTCCCGCAGCAGCAGCAGGAGCAGGAGCAGGACGAGGCACTCGTCACCGAGCGGCCTCTGATGTTGGTGAGACAACCATCGTCATGAATCAGGCATGTCACAGATACGATCCTTCCTTAATAATCAACAATTGCCCGGTTAAAAACGAAAGAAAAGAAGAAAGAAAGAAAGAAAGAAAGAACGAAACCACCTAACCCCTGATCAATGCTGCTCGTCCGTATATATATATATATATATGTATACCTAAACAATCCGGGAACAATAAATCCGCACCTGTCGTCGAAGACTGCGAAAAAGAGAGAATGAAAGACAAATTTTATAAAATAGAGAATGTCTGCCTGCTTATACCTGCCTGCTGCCTGACTCGCGGCAAAGTGAACGAAAGAAAAAGGAGGATTGCAGCAGAGCATCACTCCAACATTCCATGGACTGACTGTCTGACCAATAACTGACTGGTTGGTTGATTGATTGATTCATTCATTCATGAGCCGAATCCAGCATGAAATAATCATCCGGACAGCCCTCCGATCTCCGTCATGCTTTTCTCCTACTTTATATTACATCTCATTTCGTCTATATACACACTGAGTATTTTATTGCAGCACGATGAACGAGAAAAATGTAAGCACGCACACACACACACACATACACACTTGAAAAAGTAAACCCCCCCCCCCCCCCCCCTTTGCCCTCAGCACGATGCAAACAAAATGATACTCGCATGATATGATGCATAATTCTTGGTTGTTTCGGTCTTCTGCGTTGCACGGCTCGATCCTCGTTCGGCGAACTTGGATAAGTAATGACCTGCAGACACGAACGTGGAAAACGTGCAACACTTATCGCGTATTAAATAACGGAATGCCCCCAAGTATGCCCTCATACAATACAGTATGTAGTGGACATGATATGGGGTTTGCTTTGCTTTCGATGCTGCTGGCTATATTTAGCTGAAAAGCCTTTTTTTCTGGTATATGTGTGTCGCTTATTTTGTTGGGTGGGGAAATAAAGACGAAGACAACGTGGAACGCAGAGCCTTGGATTCCCTCGGTGCCGGAGTGCTCATGAACACCAGAGACGTGATGCAGAAAGGTGAGGAAGCAATAACACCTGCTGGGTGCTGTACTGTTGACTGCAGCAGCAGTACTTGTATTGACACTGATAAGCACGCGTTTCCAAATGTATTCCCTCATCGCGAAAAGGTCTCATTCTTTTCTCCTACACTCAACTTGCTCGTTTTAAAATATTGCTATCATTTGCTCGTTCTTCCTTTCAAAACACACGGCACGTACATGCCCAAATTATTGTATGTGATTTGACTGCTGCGTGATATGATTCTCGAATTATTGTCTGGTACTATGTGATTGGAATTGAGTGATCTAAAGCTCGTCTAATCGGCACGGTTCATCCTGAGTCTCATTTTTTTGAGACATATACTTTACATTGTATCCCTAGTCCGAGGACCTGTACGTGCCATCGAGTTGACGCGATATATGGGTTTATGATGGTACAGTATATCTGTAGGGTATCGGTACTTTCAAATACTGTATAATGTGTATATATACGGTATATTAGTAGGGGCATGCTTCCAGCCTGCTGTCAACCTGCTCAATGCTGCTGCCACAATAAGAAAAAAAAACAACGTCGCATATCACCTCAAACCTCATCAATTGCCTTCGGCTGCGGATGAGAGCGAAAGCGTCTCGCCTGCTCTTATTGACGCTATCCCCTTTTCCTTTTCTTTTCTATCTTTGGAATTTTGCTTCTTTCTTTTTTTTTTTAATACTACGCCTGCAGCGATATACTGCATGCTGGTGCTCACATTATTCTGCAAGAGACTGAATCTGACTATTTCTTCTTTTTCCTTTCTCTTTTTTTTCTTTTTTTTTTTTTTTTTTTTTTTTTCTTTTTTTTTTTTTTTNNNNTCTCTCTTTTTTCTTTTTTTTTTTTTTTTTGCTGCCCATCGTCATGTACTGCAGATGAAGCAGACTACTACCGACAGAACTACGCAAAGCGCCTGGATGTTCTCAGGTGAGTTATTCCAGTGCGACCATCGATCTAACTTGGTGTAAATTTCGAATGTACAGTATTTGCGTGTTTGATGGGAGGAAAAATTAGATTTTTGAGAATTCCTTCCAGTTTTTTCATACTCATGTTCATCCATGAGAATGCCGCTGTCTGATGTTTTACTGGAGGAATGAGAGCTTACTTATCAAACTGGGGGAATGGTCAATACCTGGAAATTATTTCCAAAAATGAATACACCTGTACAGTATATAGGAGTATGTTCGCATGCCGTGTAAACACGTAAATATAAAAAAAAAGTGTACGAACGAATTGTCTACATAGACACGATGACAATTTATAAAAGCCTAAAAATGAGACGTCTTCTTCCTCCTTTCATCCAGATTTCGCAGAATTGATCAAAGCTGAGACGAAAAGGGTGATCTTGATGCAAAGACACGTACGCTTAGGCGATCGATCTCTCATAATTTCTAAATTAAAAAGCACAGTTCCACACTTTAATTATTGAGATCAGAAACTACTGAGTCGAAATTTTAATGCATCAAAATCTAGATGCTGTTGGTACGTAGTGGCTTATCAATAAGAGCCGTTTGATGCTGATGCTGATTTTATTCGTCCGAGACGAGGTACAGATTTCGCTCAACTCTTACAATGCATCAGCAATTATAGTCCGATCGAGTCGTTCATCATGGCACTATCGATAAAACGTCACTTATCGCTGCAGCGTATGGAAAATTAACGGCACTATAATGATGAGGCATCGAGTAGGTGACATCGCGTATTCAAGGAGGAATATGCCCATCTCCATTTTTCAAGGATGAAATGGGTTCCTCTGACAAATCAGCGTCTGCCCCTGTACAGTACAGGATTGCTGAAGTTTCGCATATGCATTACTCTAACATACAAGTATTTATAGGACAATAAAAAGTAATGGAATGTCGGGTGGATGAAGGGGGTGCCCTCAAGAAAAAAGTACTCCAGCGATGTTACAGTCTTTTCGGATATTCCAATGCATATACTGTATGCGTAATGCGGTTATAAATGCAAGGAAATAAATGTACACTAACCAATGATTAAAGTGAAAGTGTATGTAGCCTACGTAGTGTAGAACATCTTGCATTTTATGCAATGAAAGTACTCATGGCCTCTATATTTCATTTACGAAGTTCAACTCGAGCTGAAAAAGGCAATCGCCACACGCAAATATAAACGGCGTGGAAAATGACTGACTAATTTTTAATTGGATTTTTTTGGATCGATATACAATAAGCTGCAAATGTATATACAGGACTAGCTGTGCATGCTGAGTACTGTATATAATAATCGCGTACGACGAAGACTACAATGATGAGTCGTTCATGATAATAAATGGAACGCTGTTTATCAGGGAAGGAAAAAAGAAAAAGAAACTTGTATACCGTACATATATATGCATCATATGCCCCTACGTAATGCTTATTATAAATAGCGATACGTAGGTATAGTTGCCAGCTGCATATACGACGAGGGGAATTGAAGGTCAGATTAAGATCCTCATTTACTAATGTAGGACACACATACGGTGAAGTACGCATTTGATTGACGATAGCAAACCATGATGACTCTTCTAAAGAGCTGCCTGCTGTTGCATATAATGTACGTATGTTGATCAGTCCTACAATATACAGTATTGTATTTTCATGTGATCCATGCAGGTATACGTATTCCTACTTACGTATATGGTGGTGGTTTCGCAGAAAAGTCTTGCCTCCTCATCATATTGTCTGTCGCTCCTCCTTTTTTCCCCCTTTCATGTTCGTCCTGCTGCTTGTGCATCATCATGATCATCATCATCAGTGGAATGACGATCGGGGCCCAAAAGCGCAACTTTGACGAGATCGGCCACGGGTCCATGGGCTTTGCCAAACGGAACTTTGACGAAATCGGCCACGGAAGCATGGGCTTTGCCAAACGGTCCCTGGACGACTTGAAGCAGAGCATCCTGCGCTACTTGCGCGAAAAGGACCGACTCGACGCCCAGCGGTTCCTCATGGCCACCAAGCGCAACTTTGACGAGATCGGCCACGGGTCCATGGGCTTTGCCAAGAAGAACTTTGACGAAATCGGCCACGGAAGCATGGGATTCGCCAAGAAGAACTTTGACGAGATTGGCCACGGTTCCATGGGCTTCGCCAAAAGGCACACGCTTGGCGATGACATTGGCCAGGGAAGCATGATGGGGATGGTTTCGTCGTCGTCCAGCGGAGCTGGGCTACGAGGGCAGCAGCCTGATTACTCTCCCCAAAAATGAAAAAAAAAAAAAAGAGAAGAGAAACAGAGCAACATGCCATGTGTTGAATCATGGTCCCTTATTGTCAGTTTTCAGTATACATACGGCGCATCATGCATTATACTCGTTCATAGCTTTTCTCCGAGAGCCTCCTTGTTTCAAGTTCAGGCGTGTGTGTGTGTCTTTATTATTGTTCACCTGATTTCATGTCTCCGCCATCTCGTTTCGTCCTATGTTTAGAGTAACAACAACAAAAACAATAACAATTGAGCTGCATATAATATAATGATAAAGAGACCCCATCATGTTTCTGGATCTCGGCCGCCGCCTCCTCCTCCTCCTCCTCCTCCTCTTCGTCGTCGTCGTCGTCGTCGTCATCATTGTTGTCTTTTGTCACAGCAGCATGCTAATCATTCATCATGTCGAAAAGATGGAAAATAAAATAATAAAGCAGCAATCAAATTAAAATCATCTGCTGATTTACTGATGATGTCCACACACCGTGTCGCATATATATATATATATAATGCAAATGAGGGAAATGCGCAAGAAACAAAACGAAGAGAGAGAAATGACGATGCTGCTGGTTTTTCATTTCTATTTTTCATTTATTGTCCATTATATTAAGGTTTAAAAAAGAAAGGGGGGCGGGGTGGGGAGATGAGAGAGGGATGAGGTATATAGTGTATATAATATAATATGAGATGATGATGATGATGATGATGATCATCATCAGAGAAAGATCTCGTAGAGAAACTTGTGCGTGAGGGCTGTCGTGAGGTAGTCCTGGTAGTGCACAAAGCCCTCGTGGTCCGAGACCTGGAAGAAGGCCTTTTGGGCGTCGGTGAGGAAGCGGATCATGCGGTCCCCGCTAGAGCCCGTGCGGAACACGAAAAAGACCGAGGCCAGCTCCACGATTTCGTTCATGTCCAGCTTGCCGTCCATGTCGGCGTCGGCCAGCTTGAAGGCCCACTCGAGCTTCTCCACCAGCGTGGCGCCCGTCGCAATGTTGACGGCGTTGAGGAACTCCTTGAAGTCGATGAAGCCCCGACGGTCGCGGTCAAAGACCTCGAAGCAGAGCTCGGCAAACCGCTCGGGCTCGCTGGACGACGGAAACAGGTCGCGAAACAACTCCACGGTCTTGGCCAGGTTCATGCGCCCGTCGGGACAGTCGTGCGAGAACTTGCGCTTCCAGCTCTGGAACTGGTCGCGGCTGAGTCCGCCACGCAGCAGCAGCAGTTCAGTCATGTTTCTTTCTCTCAATTGAGTGGAACTGCTGTATCTGCTGCCCTGCTATTACTGATACTGTTAACGTCGTCTCCCTCTCCTCGTCGTCGTCGGAAATTTTGGCTTGGGACTAATCGAGCAATTAATTAATTAATTAATTAAAAATTAAGAAGCACATATGTGATAACAAGGATGAGAGGTAAAACGCATTTCCCCGGGAATTGCGGGACAAAATTTTCAAGTTCGCATCATCAACATCATCTCAACACCACCATAATTGTTATCATCATCATCTTCTTCTTCAATGTTCCAAACCACTTGTTCCGATTCATTGCCGACCTACACCAACTTTCACAAGCTTTCAATTATCATCACTGATATAGTGATATACATATGTGACGAGTACATGATGAAAGATCGGAAAGAAGTAAAGTGCTGGTGCCATATTATTATTGCTTCATTCTCACACTCGTCATTATGTGATATAGTATAGTATAAATAGCAAAGTAATAATTCCAACCGACGACAAATACAGTACTGTACGAACAAACGAGCCGCATTCGTCAATAAGACTGCAATTGAGACATACATCACTCAATCTTCGCCGTATATACATGCGAGTCAATTGAAATGGAAAAAAAAAAAGAACCAGCATGCAGTGTGATGTCCTTTCAAATGAAGCACTTCTCCATGGCGCAGAGAAAGTACTCGCCCAGCAACTTGGTGACGGACGACGTGCTCGTGTTGGGCTTGTAGTACTTGCAGCCGCAGCGTCGGGCATCGTCCATCAGCTGCGCCTTCAGCGTCGACGGGCCCTGCGACTCTTTGATGTCAAACACCTGTTGTGATTGTCATGGATTCGAGGCGTTAGCATCATCATCAGTAATCTTATCGGATATGCCCTCAATCTCTGGGTGCGGATGCATGTTTTTTTTTGTTTTTGTTTTTTTCAATCCCCTCTCCGCCGGCCATGCACGGCAAGTTTTACTCATTAGAATTATCTCCTCTATTCACACACGTATATTTACACATGCTGTATATACGATGTACGTACGGTATATGCATTACACTCTTCCGTTTATTTCCTTCTCGTGCTCAAGCAACATCAGGTTTTCTCATTCCCCTCCCCCCCTTTCTCTCTCTCTCTCACTCTCACGGTATTTTAAGGAAAAAAGGAAAGAAGGCTGGATGAAATTAATCTCTACATCTCGACTCGAATATGTGAGGTCGTGTATTCATTGAGGAGATGACTAAAAGACATCGGTGAACAGTACGAGTATAGTGCAGTATATAGTTGTATACCCAAGTACCGCACTATACTGTGCCTGCCTCTACGACAATTGTATTCACTTCATGCGCAGGGTCTGCCTTTTTTGTTTTCGTCGTTGAAGAAAGTAATTGCTGGGCACTTTTTTCCCACAACGATGCAGATGCCTTCTCTATTTTTTATTTAGACTGAAACAATTTCCTGGAAGTGTGCTGGGAAAGTGGTTTGCTGGAAAGGCAGAATGCAGAGAGCTCACGCAGAAAAAGCTTGATGGAATGCTGTGGCTCATATATACATACATAGTACTATACAAGCGTAATACTTTTCAAACAATGTGCAGCATAAAAAATAGCCGGCAGTACGACTGCTTCATTCATCCGTTCTTTTGCGTTTTTGACAAAGAAAACTAATTCATCTTCACTGCATACCCGTTTTACGATATACTGTACATGTATATACTCGCACTTACAGATTGTGCACCAAAAACCGTTGATATATAAGAGTTTAATCGTTAATAACACACACAAGTACGGTATAATAAGGTGTGATCCATCATTCTCCTTCAGACCAAAAAAATAAAAAATAAATTCACCGCGGCTTTTGCTGTTTTGATACCTTCCTATATAAATTTGTACACCTTTCTCTTACTGCATTCTGCATAACTAGCTGTATACAGTAGAACTTTTCGTTGGGACGAAAAGAAAACTGCATAAAGGAAAGCTGCTTTCATCGTTCACATGCAATATACAAGTTATAAGAATACCAAGATGAGCAAATTATTTTTCCCCCTTTTTCGACAGTAGAGTAGAGTAGAGTATGCATACAATATACATATACAATATAGTATATACAATACTATATATATATATATATCTACCAGTGTCTCTGGCATGAGCGTGTCGTTGGAGTCGAGCAGTTCTGCCGTGAGGCCCCAGCAGCGCCAGAGCTGCTCCTGCGTGTCCGTGCCCTGGGCTGCCAGCAACTTGTTGATGGCCGTCTCTCGGAAGTGGACCCGGTTGGTGTCCAGGAAGCAGCGCAGGTCGTCGCGACGGGTCATGTTGTCCGGCATGTCCATGGTCTGCACGACGACGTCGATCTCGTCCACCAGGGACAGGAACTCGGATTGCAGCTCGTTCAGGCCCATGCTGGACATGCAGTCGGCGAAGATCTTGCGCTCCAGGCGCAGGTACTTGTCGGGATAAAAGATGCGGGCACAGGCGCAGCCGTTGCGAGTGGGCACGACGGGCTTGGGCAGGGATAGTTTATTGCCAGCCGAGTCCATAAGGTCTTGTTGTTGTTGTGGTTGTTGGTGTTGTTCGGACCTGATGCTGCTGCTGCTCGTCAATAACTGCTGCTGCGAAGATGATTCTCCCGCCTCACGCGTCTGCTGCTGTTGGTGCTGTGGCGCGGACATCACGGACGACGAGAAGAAACACACGCACAAGCAGCACAGCAGCAGCCAAGCAGCAGAACCACGACAGCACGGCTGCAATGATGATGCTGCGATACTGCTACCGCAAGTCTGGTGCTGCAGCTGATGGTGACGGGCAGTAGTGCGGCCGACCGCACGGTTGTCCTCCATCATCGTCGAGAAGATCATTCAAATATAGACGTACAGCACATTCAGGAACGGACGGCGGTATTCTTTATTATCCTTCCGTCTTCCTCCCTTTAATATGACGAATGCAAAACTGTTCCATCAACATTAATAGTGACCAAATTTTACGCGCATTTTATCCGTGATTCCAATTTGCCGAGTTTATTTAATTAAAAATCTTCCCAATTCATCAACTCTGCAAAGAATAATGCGCCGAGTGCTGTGTTCCCCCTTATTTCCCTTTCGTCGCCATCCATCTGGCAGAAATGACTCTTTTTTCTTCTTTTTCTTCTTTTTCATTCACGGCAGTTTTTTTGGTCAGCAATAGGTCATGGTAGTTTCCTCTTTTATTACCTGGGCCATTCTCTGCATGGTGGTCAAAAAAAAAAGCCACCAGAAAAAGCAGCATTTTATGTATGAATCACACACACACACACACACGCATATGAGGTGTACTTCGTACTCCTATGACTCAAAGAGCAGTACTGTATAAAGTGAAACGTTGCACAATAATACTGTTCCGTTATCCAGCTACTACTCCAAATACTTTCAATAAGATTCCATATTATTCTTTCCCGATTTGAATTAGATAAATGCTGATAAAGCAATTCTGAATATATCAATCAATGTGTTCATGAAATAAAAATATATACTTCAATGTGATTTTTCAAATATATTCAATCACAATATTGAATTCAAATACAGTCACACAATAAATTAGAAATAGAAGATTTGAAGAGAGTCTTGCTAAACTGTTTTTGCAAGCCTCTCTGAGAATAACTGCAAGGGACTCTAAATTGAGTCTCAGGAAATATTCAGGATGAAGTTATATTTATACCTTCATCATAGCAACATAAAACTGAGAGCAGAATCTCATCATAATTCATGAGCTGTGGGCTTCATGAATATACAGTGATACCCCCACATGCAGACACCTTGACATGGGAAGAATTTGACATAGGCATATTTATTTTTTAATAAAAAATAATTGAAAAGGCCATTAATTTGGCCTGAAACTTATTTGCAATTTTAGCTCACAATGTCCACATGTTAAAATCATTTAAAGAAAGAAATCAAATCCTGAAAAAAGAGAGCCAAAACCCTGGGGGAGGGTGCTGAAAAAATGTGCCCAAATGCAGCTAAAGTTTGTAAAAAAAAAAAGAGTATTGGAGGGAAGTGGAACATCTTTTGGATAAAAACTGGACTTATTGTCCAATTTTTATCCAAAATTTGTCCTATAGATCCCTCCAATACTGTATGCTTTGTATCCAAAAGGCAGTTGACTGTTGGATAACTTTATCATAGCAACATAATCAACATAATTTGGACATCTTGTCCAATTTGTATCCTAAACTTATCCAAAGCAACTTGTCCAAAACTTGTCCAATTTTTTCAAGATTCTGGAATAAGTTGCTTTGGATAAGTGATCATTGAGTGAAAGCAACTTGGAGCAATTCAGTCAAGAACAAAAAATTTGCATGCATGGGGTAACAGAAGCCATGAGGCTTGCATCCAGCAAGTTTGCATGAAGATTTGGGATTGATGGTTCAATGTCCCATTGCTCAAAATGTTTTTCACTTCTCACCCCCGACTTTCTAAATTTTGTGAATGTGTGCAACTTTTCATTGAAGGCAGCATGAAGTTTGCTGTGCAAGTTTCTGATTCTGTAATCTCTACCCCATATATCCCTTATAAACAGCTCTGCTGGAGAACAGCAGCTTAGTGGTAATATTTGCCTGACAACTTTTTTTTTTTGTGTGGAGTTTTCATTGAAATGGTTCTGGTGATCATGCCATTGCATTTTGGGCCACGAAAGTACAGTACATACCTTTTGAAAGGGGGTTGATCAATCTTTTATTTAACGTTTCAATCCTTGCTGCAGCTCAAATTTCTGCCAGCAAGCTATTTGTTCTGCCAAGAGTCCTAAAGCGGTTCACTTTCTTGGCACGCCCTGAATGTTGGTCAGTCGTGCATTATACTGTACTGTATAGAGACGAACGTCGCTTATTTCAAACATCATGGGCATATTGTTTCCCCTTCATGTACAGTATTCTTTCCTAATCCATCTGCAGAATTGAAAAGTAAGTGCAAATAATTAATGATGATCTCATGATGTCTGCGACACTGCCAAAGAAAAGAAAGGAAGACGTCGAAGAAGTAACCAATCATTATAAGGGGAGGGGACTGCATGTATAAATGGTGTACACACGAAATTCGAACAGTCTATATAAAAAGAGTTCCACACTGCACTGCAATGATGAACATGCATGCTGTGATGCATGTACGATACAGCATGCCCGAAAAATATACAGTACAGTATTCACGAAACACAGCACGTGTCCAGCACTAAAATCCACTGCTCGTGGTTATTATGCAAGTGTAGCAATATGAGCGCCTGTTGAAGCACGCCTCGCCATCGGGATGACAACCGAGGCTCATCAATTCAACGCTCATCCCCGCGTCGAACACAGCGCACTTTCCTCCTCTGCTGTACTGTTCGCAGTACTAGCTATCATAACTATCAATGAAGACACGCTGTGTCCTATACTCTTCAATACTTTGTTGTATTGGGCACTGTCGTCCTCGATCGTCATTATTGCGAACCAGCATGGGGGAAGGGGGGGGGGTGGGGAGATGCTATTTTGGCACTGCATGCTTCCTATGGCTGGCCAGCAAATGTGCGTGGACCAGCCAGCGACATCAAGATGGGCACTTTCAGGCGCCGACATAAATTACAGTAGCACTGTGCTAAAGGAATGGAGGAAAGTAAAGGAGCGAGTGCTGATGAAGCCGCGAATAGCCGACGCGATGATGCTCCCAGCACGTATATACACGAGCACCACTTGTTGCTTGCTGCTGAGTCAGTTGACCCGGTAATGCGAAATGCACCGGTTGCAAATGCCATATACGCTCTGGCCATGTCGCATATCATGTCGGCTTTCCCATGCATGCATGCTTGCATTGTTGCTTGCTCACCTGCCTATACGTACACGTTGAGGGCAGGGCCGGAAAAATAAACATTAAAAAAGTCACTGGGCCCCTATATATCGTCACGCTCCCGTGCGAGCAGCAGTAACCCGCGAGTATTGCATTATCCATGCCTGGTATACAAGGTTGTCCGAATTTCAAATTCACTCGCTCACATTTTTACCCCGGTGTTGTGTGCCGAATGAAAACATCCCATAAATTTCCCTGTCGACCATGACAACCCAAACCCCCATCGAAAGAGGGTCGGGGTGCGGAGTCAACCTTTAAATTAGAAACAGAAAGTCGGGGTGCGGATGAGTCAACCTTTAAATCCGCGAGTAAAAGGCGGATACAGAGAAGAAAACGGGCCGTGTGTGTTTTCGTTTTCATTCACCCATATCCCGTTACTTTAATATAGCGACTGGATAAAAAGACTCGTAAGACACTCAAGATTACAAGTCGTTTGTTCGTAAATATATATTTTTTTTTCGTGGGATCCCTTTAATACAGTCGCACGGTTTATTCCGGTTTATTTCGGGTAATTTCCTCATTCTCCTTATTTTGTGTGGAAATGGACTTGCTGATCAGCTCCTCCCTTCAGTGTTTTAACGGATGTTTGGTTTTTTTCTCTCGTTTTGTAACATTTTTTTTTATCATTTTCCTTAGAAATGAAAACCCTTTCCATCTCTGAGCGGGATGATGATGAGGAGATTAAAATGCTCAATCCGACAATTCTAAGTCGCCGATGAACGTATAATTTTGTTTTCTCGCATTGAGCGAAGTGCAAATGTACAATACTGTACTTTACAGAACATCACATACGTTATGAATAGAAAATTTCATTTACCAATATACTGTATACGCTGTGCTTGTCGTTGACGTGATGAATAAATGCAAAGAGAAAATGCAGTGGTCATATATGTAAGAGTAGAGCTTATTCCAACTCTTCTACAGTATATGATGTGGATATGTAAATTGCATGTGTAGTTTTCGGAAAAACACTGTATATTTATACTGTATGCGATAAGGTGTTGGTGACAAAACCGAAGCCACTTATATTATAGTGATCCCGTTAATTCAAAGTCTCCCTCTCATCTATTTCCGTTTTGAAAATCGACAGGCTACCTTCAATTGCGAAGCCGGGATGAATTGAAAAGCCATGCAGCAGTATACGTACAGTACAGTATAGCGATTAAAGCACCGACTGGTTCTTCCCCCGCTTTTTTGGGCGTGCCTCGAATTTCCCCGCGTCACCTCAGCAATCGGTGGCGAGAGAGCAAACAAAGCCAACGGGAAAGGCGAGTTGAAATCGAGACCGGAATTACAAACCATGGATGAAGTGATGAAGCAGAACAAGCAATAACGATAAGAAAGAAATAGAGTAAGAGAAAAGCGACCGGTAAAAATGCATTCAAAGCCGGCGGATGCATCAATTTCACTGCGAAAAGCACAGCAGCAAGGCGACAACGAGACGAATGTCCTTTTTTTTTTTTTTCCTTTCTTTTGGCCTGCGACCTGGTTCTATACGATTCGTCGAAAAACACACACACACACAATTGCTGCGGGGGGAAATAGAGAGAAAGAGGGAACACGAGAAAGAATGATGAAAAACAGCTCGAAATTCCACCAAACTGGCCATGCTCGTAATACACGTCCACATCACACGTACAGCAAGTTCACAGTATGCGTGATGGAACTATAGACAATGAACCTCATCGTTGTACCGAAAGAGGCTGGCAGAAATGTACGCAATTGCTTTCGTTTACCGAATGAGAAAGGTTGCGATGGCGCTTTGTACGTGCGATATAGGAAAGGATAAGCGTCCGAAGGCTGATTTCCGTGGAAAGTCGGAGAAACTCCAAGTAACTGATGAAAGTACTGTACAAGAATCCTAAATCGTCTCGGAAAAAAAAAAAAAAAATTCCCGTTGATCGAGACACGTTTTTCAAGGACGATGATAAGGCTTTTGCACCGCAGCACGCGCTGCTGTGAAAGGTATCAGTGCAAGAAAAATCGTCAACAATACTACAGCAAGTAATCTGAATTAAAATTTAAAAAAAAGTATCCGCCGCGTACAAATGCAGTAAACTATTGCAATGTCGTGCAACTGCATCTCGCACTTCATCACCTATAGGCTAATATTCACTGATATAAGAGAGGCAAGTAAAAAAACACTCAGTGGACCATCAAAACGAAATAGTGTGTCGTTCTGCAGAAATGCCCTCGACAGGATTCAATTCACCGGAGCCATGACGAGGCACATTAATCAAAATGCAATAATTCTCAAGAATGGAAAAGTTTCAATCGATCTCAACAGTGCTGCTTGGGCATCGTGAACTTTCCAGATGAGGTACATAGCCACGATTAATAATGACCGTTTCTAACGTCGGACTTTTTCCGTCCAAGATGAACTGCTATAGGATCCAAAAAATTTCACTGATCCTTATTTTGCAAAGTTGTCAGTATTTTGTGGACCGACCTTTTATGATCAAGCAGGAGAGAGAGAGAGAGAGAGAGAGAGAGTAAAGCGTCGAGAATACAAATTTCAGAAACTCGCGCAGTTGT